ATTCCTCATCGATCACCTGCGGAGAACGAAGACTTCATGAGTCACGCAGAGTTGACTAGATGCGTTCTTACCTCGTACTCCCCAACGCGCCCTCCATCTCGACAACCGTACTACAAAAGCGTAGTTGTTCTTGGCTTGATATGTGACAGAGTGTAACGTCGTTTTCTGAGTTCGGATCTAGCCAAAATCTGCAAGGGCCAACTACGTCTTTGTCACAGAAAAGCAAAAGCGACGCTCACCGGGATGCTTCTCAGCCCAGTTGGCTCTCGGTTTCAAATGCCCACGTCAGAGACACGCAAAGTTCTTGAGTGATGTTGATGAGTATCGGGAGGCAGTATGCCCTTCCATAGCTGGACGACGTCGAGATCATGTTGCTGGTATCAGGGAAAATGCGTGCCAGAATTTAGAACTGCAGGGCTCCCTTCACTCCTGTTGCGCCCACGTCCATCTATCCCCAGCGGTAATCACAGCCCTTGAACTGCCCATAAGTACACGCAGACAGCTGCCGACGCTGTCTTGGGCGAAGATTTGACGGAATGGAGGGAGTGGGTGTCGACGATAAGAAGGTAAAAAGTCGGGATCAATAGATTTAAAGAGCGCTTCGGACCGGTCCTGACTATGGAAAGAGTGTTTCTTTCACACCTCTGTGAGCACGGTGACTAACAGGTGGCTCGTTGAACTGCTAAAGGGAGAAAGAAACTGGTCGTTCAGTTCAACCCGCCCTATATGAGGGCGCGCGCTATTGGTCAATGTGACAGTTGCGCTGATAGTTCAGGGAGACACGGCGATGGCGGAAGCATCCGTGGCACGGGAACAGATACGGTGGGTATATCACTATCTGAGATTGTGGATACCGTATGACGTCGCCGTGGTATGCACCGCCGTGTGCGGTGTGCAGTGTCGACGATTCGGGCTTCCGAGTGACAGCCGGCGGGGCTAGAATGAGAATTTGGATCGGCGAGGATGATAGCAGAAAAATGTGTCGTTGTGGTAGAGCTGGCATTGATTGCGAGTGCGATCAGCTCCGTTCCTACGTGAAGCATGGACTGCGAAATCGACGGGGAGGTCTCATCACCCAGTCACACCTCTAACGAACAGACGGCCGTACCCAAGGACTCAGAGTGGAGGTTTCGTTTGGCATATTTTGATGAGATGGTATTCAGCATGGTAGTTACGTGAAATTATGCTATAATGATATATCAGAAGGAGAAGAAGTCGTCGCGACGAAAAGGCAGACGTACGATTACGATACCACACCTCATTTTCAGGTCACGATGAACACCGCGATCCCATCAAAAGTCACACAGAGCTGAAGTGACCTCGTACTCCCCAACTGGTACGCGTCTATGCGGTGTCCTCCTTCAATTCTAACAACGAAGTGAAGCAGCCAAGCGTACTGTTAACGTTTGTTTTAGCATTTAGGCTGCGCTCGGGACCCGTATCTATGCCTGGTTCAGCTACGCCTGTGCCAGAAGAAATTGATGCGAACCAGAAGATCTGTCCTCTGTGTGGAGTGTACGCAGTCTTGGGATTCTCTAAAAAGCGACGTCCATTTCGTTGTGCCTTGCTATCAATGACGACAGGGCCGGATGCTAAAGATGCATCAGCGAGAGAAGGAGCAGGTAAGATATGACATACGAAGAGCGTGAGTCTCTGCGGCAGTGTAGTCGTCGCGCTATGAGTGGCGTGAATTGACGTAAGGTATAGTAGCATGAGGCGCTACGGAGGAAGGAGGCGTCCCTCTCCGTTCCAAACGCCTGACTATCACGCACCATTGGCCAAGTCCTGGTCGCCATTCTGCCTTTCCCTAAATCGATGGTGTCAAAGTCTGAGCGAGCCATAGCTTAAGGTCTTCTGTCACGTTCTAAGTCTATCACCAGACATGGGTCAACGGCATAATCGCACGTCAGCTGAAGATACGCGAGACGAAAGTTTTGCTGAAGAACAGGCAAGATCAATAGATGCAAATAATGCCACATACGCGCTCCACGGGAGTCCGGTCCGAATTGAAACCTCGTTGCTCGGCTGTGATTTACAGTCCGATTCCCACTTCTTCACAACTTTTCCGCGTTTGAGAAAGACGAAAAATCGTTCTTTCCCCGGAGAGCCGAACCAAATTTCGCACGACGAAAAGCGACACACGTCACTTGTTCATGGCAGAGATTTTTTGTATTTCACAATTAGACCCGGTCTGCGGCCCGGTTCCGCGGCCCGTGCTTCATGTCGAACACCCACCATCGATAGCCGCTCTTCTCAAAACCCACCAGTGCGTCCTTAATATCAAGTTTTCTCCAGTGTACTGAAACAGCCAACAGCAGCCATGGACCCATCATCTGTGCTTCCCGTAGAACTCGTCTCAAAGATATTTTGCCACTACCTCACCGATCGTGATATCCCTGTGCAGTCGTTTGATTTCTCCGATGGACTCTGGGTCCTTGGGAAAGTCAGCAGTGTATGGAGAAGCACAGCCTACTCATCCCAATCACTGTGGTCCACCATAACCATCACCGAGACATTGCCTACTTGCGACTCCCGAAAGAACACCTTGCCACTCTCAGGTTCGAGCCTGGTATCTCGGAAGAAAGCCAGCGAAGCCAGGAACCAAATCCTCACCGAAATCCTTAGTCGCTCTGGAAGTTATCCTCTCAGCCTATGTATATCCTTCCCCATCTGCATTCAAGATCATGAGGACATCCCTATCGCTGACCAGCCTCTTTGCGCCATTCTTGCCGCGCAGTCACCGGTGGCAGTTCGTTCAATTTATGGGTCCTCCTAGCCTTTGGAATAAGTTCTTAGATATCCCCTCTTTTCGTCTCCAGTCATTGCAGAAACTGAGTGCAAGGGTGGGAGGAATGACTGTCCTGGGTCAAATTGCCCGCCTCTGCCCCAGCCTAGTCGAGTTGGAAACATTCGCTTCCAAAGACGAGTACACTCTCGGGAGGATGAAGATGTTTGCGCTCGAACACCTTTCGCTGACAGGGGATACTGGTGCGCTAGATTGCATCTCCGCGCCCCATCTGGAATCGTTAAGGATCACAGGTGCTCTGTCATGGACCAAAATACGTTCTGACCATAGCGGTTCTCACGTATTCGAGTTTCTCCACCATTCAAAGTGCTCAGTACGCACCATGAATATCAAATGGCGTGGCACCCACGATGACCTAGTCATGATTTTGTCCCTTACACCATCACTCCAATTTCTTCAATGCAGCATCCCTTTCAATCGAGCTCTCCTTGAATCCATGTCTTCGTTAATTCCTAATCTGCGTACTCTCACCCTTCAATTTCACTACATCATTAGCTCCCCTCATGTTAAACTTATTCTTGACATGGTCGAGTCAAGGCTCGCGGGTGGAATTTTGAAGCATGTACGCATTCGCCCCGTCGGAAAGACCAATATCAAAATGTTTGCTGAGCGACTGGCCACCCTCAATGAACTGCCGGATGTCAGTGTTAGGCTTGGGGATATCAGCGGATCGTATTAGGGCCTTTTGAAACCTGTTATAGCTGCAGAGGATGACGGTGCGGATATCTATATGCCAGAAGTTAAGGATGGTCTGGCGACAGGATTATCCCCTGTCAGAAGGAGTTTTCCGCGTTTACTGGGTACATGAGCCGTATATTCAGGAATGACAATATCACTTACGCGTATACATCTAATTTTTCGAAAGGTGTTTCTTTTCTCAAATTATGGACACATATTTCGCTGTATACCACCAATCTGTCATTTACTACTCCAATAAAATTGATAAGGATTATCCGCGACCTTTCATCCCTCAACGGAGGGAAATTCTTCCGTGTGGGCCTGTATTTTCTTCTCGTTTATGAAGGCTTGTTTAGTCGTAGATAAAACAGAAAGGCGGACGTCCTTCCGACTGTAGATGAGCTTTCATAACGGAAAACGAAACATTGAGTGCATATGCTTACCAGATTGTCTCAATTTCATGCTCTCAAAGTATTTCGGCAGCAGAATACCTAAGTATGCGCAGGCGAACCAGCACTGCGTTCAACAGAAAGGAAGGATGAGGATCATTGTTTCGGAATTCGACACCTTTTGAACTAACAAGTAAGGATCTTTGAAGTCCTGTATCGTCTTCTGCAGCTGAACCAGAATATAATTTCTGCTAGAAATGAATCTTTCTGAAGACAATGCGCCTGTGAAATGGATAGAGAAAGACACGACTAAAAAAACACATTTCACTTATGCAATCACGCCGAAGGGGAGTTGAACCACTACGGCTTGCTTTGATCATAAGGATGATAACCGCTTCAGTATCCAGTGTACAATGGACACTGAATGAAGTAGTTCTTGTAGGTACTCTATCGTTTATCCCAGACAACATTTCTACTATTCTACACTCCCGTGGACTAGACAGAATACATTCTCACCTCATAAGAGAACTATTTCTCTTCGAAGGACCCTAGTACCCGCCGTATACATTTTTCCGAGTGGAGAAATGCGTCGAATCGTTTAGATGGAAGATAGACGTATTATTACAGTATTACGGTTCTGTATCATGTCAACTGCCTGCGGAACAAGATGTCATCAGGAGCTGCACAAAGCTGACCATCTTTTTTTCACCTCGTACTCCGTGATTGGTGCGCACATATAGAAATTTGTTCCCCAAGCGGTGATGCTTCCAAGTGTCTTGACGATGAGCTTCTGATCTCCCACATAAGTGACCAACACACAAGCGTCTCCGTTAACCCTAGGTTAATCTTCTTCCACATAAATAAATCAAGTCAACGCCATGCTGTTGGCGTCAGAGTATATCCGAGCGAGATACTAGGAGAACTGCAGCCTCAGGGCAACGGTCATTTCTGATCAGTGCGTCCAGCGGTCCTCTTCACAGGCTCATATAATCGCATCGTTGCCACGAGGCTAGGTGATAGTGGTTCTGAACGGAGGCAGTGGCAGATGATGGCAGGAAGGAAAACACGGTCCCGGGTCGAGATCAAAACACCTACCGCGCAAAATTAGCCGTCAAAATCATGTGCCATACACCGAAGGGGAGTCGAACCCCTACCACTTGCTCAATAGAAGGACGTGTCAGGAAATGGAAAGCATGCTTGATAACCATTTCACTATCAGCGTGTTAAACAGTGCAATGATGCGTGGTTACAGAAGACGGGAGCTCGTATATTCCAGTGAGTAAGGCTTTTCCCTCTATCCAAAGGAGTCATCAAAAAGGCATCGCTGGTTCCGTGTTCAGCCCCTACGTCAAAGATTCGTGATTTTCTGTGTACTCACCTTGCTTTCGATCTCTCTTTGGTCCTATGTTCAGGACTTGATCATTTTCACAGCAAAACCTCAAATGACCCTCAGAGTATACTAATCATCCGCGGGATGTTAGAGGCACCAAATTGACGTGGAACGATACACACCTCGTACAAAGAGTAAAAAGACACCAAATGGACGTTCAAGTCATGTCTCGAGAGTCGAAACTTTAGCCTTGAAGTGTATACTCTGAGGGGGAGGTGCAATTGACCTCGAGGCTGCTACAGAAACAGTCGAACCGCAGGGATGAATACGACCGTTCGCATTGAAGCTTGTACGGAACCAGTCACACAGTAGCTATGCACACAAGTCCAAATCGTCCGGCTTGTCCCGCATACCTCCGCTATCGCTTGAAGGATGTCATCGGAGGAAATTATTGTGGCAGTCGTCTCTGCCAAAAGTAAATCGCCAGCAAGCAGAATACACGTTGCGAAAGCCATCCTTAGAAAAGGTTCGGAATCCGAGACTGGTGAGTCAGGAGGACATGAACTGAAAAGGCGCAAGACTGAAAGATACGTAGCCCAAAGTCTTGTATGGACAGTGGGGACAGAAGAAATTTCTGCGAGGTCTTCTTCACGATTGAAGGGTTCCATATTTGTCGATATCTAGACAACGATTAGCCTAGGAGGCTGGCCTTTTGTCATACATACAGGCAGTATACCCACAGAGACAAAGACAAAGTGTGCTGTTGCGATACGCAGTGATTAGTAGTTAGGAGTATTTTGGGCGGAGCATCACGTCTACAACAGACAGGGCCTTCGTTGGTGAGCACAAATAATCCGCGTACAGATTTTGCACTACACGAGACGACTGTCTCCGCAGAATGTGGATTACCAGTGACTCCATTGCAGTCGAAGGGTCATTGTCTCTGGTTATCTCGTCAGGCGAGTGCTGCGTGAGATCTTGTCATATCCGAGAAGTAAGGCCTGTCGACAAAACGATGCGTAAGATCGGACTCGGTAGCAGCCACATCTTCATAGTACGCGAAGCAAGTTTCCTTCCAGCGGGTATCAACGGGCAAAAGCTTTGCGTCGTCGCGCACCATGGAGGCACCGACGCTAAATTTCTAGTGCCCAGTATGAATATGGGTAAGCGAAAGCAACATGGACTTCCTGAAATTAAGGTGTGGCTATATATACTAGGAGTGCAACAACTAGTCAGAGCACAATTTGCCGCGCTGTTGTACCGAGGGCTGGAAGGTTACGTTTTGGTTAGGCAGGGACCAACATTGTCCGTTTCCCCATAAAATATAGAGAGGACGAACGATGCGAGTGTCTTGTCATCGCTTAAAAATTATTCCGGCAAACAGACTGTGGACTGGTGCTAAGGGAAGACTATCCGCTGATATCTCGTCATAAGGTGGATACTCATTCGTATTAGCCATGGTAGGTACATGGATATATGCTATATCCAGACCTAATTAGTTCATCGAACCCATTAAATGACAAAGAGGATGTACGATTATAAAGTAGAGAATGATCATCAACGCCTGCGGAGAGACATGTCATCATGAATCGTCTAGACTTGGCGAGATGCGTCCTCACCTCGTACTCCCCACATCCACATGTATGCACTCCAGACTGAACTACCGTGCGACAAAAGCGCAATTGTTCCCGGTTTGACAGGGTGTGCTAAAGCCGTTCTTGGAGGCTGCATCCAGCTTTATACAAGGTGCGACCAAGTCCTTGTTGCAGGAAAATTTAATTGACAATGCTCACCAGAATCCTGCGCAGGTCGGGTGGTTCTCATATCCAAACGCTTGCCCCAGCGACTAACACGCAAGCATCCTCGGTGATGGGAGCACAAGTCGCGCTTCTATAGATCTATGACGTCGAAATGTTTTTCTGGCGTCAGTGCAGTTGCCAGCCAGAACCGCAGGTCTTTGTTCATTTCCGTTGCGCACCGATGACGATCTTGTATCCTGTCTCGAGTAGCAATTGCACTCCTTGAATCATGTGCATCTTTACTAGCTTGCCGACTGTCACTGAAACTGTGGTAGGCAAAGGTTTGGTGGAATGGAGGGAGCGGGATGAGAAGAAGATAAAGGCATGTCGGCATCAATAGATGTAAATAGCACCGCACGGCTTCAGGAATTATAACACGAGGACAAGCCTAGCTATGGGACTGGAATGCAATGGAGAGCGGCTCAAGATGAACACTCCACGTTGACTTGATACCTGCAGCTTCACACGGCACTTTGATGGGACGTTAAAGTTCAATATTATCGTCAGAACATACAGGAAGACAACAGGGTCATGGTATTAGGGCGTACAAACGAGTCCGACCAACAGACCTCCGTATTCTTGAACTGTTGCCAAGTAAAGGTCGCTCAGAGCTGATGCATTTCCTGACATCTCTCGACCCTTTCGTATCCGACGTGGTAGAGACATGAACATACTTCTGCTACTTATGTTCAGACGTCAGCAAGTTGTAACAACGACGAGACACAAGGCAAAAGTACAATTATAATATTAGCGTTTTGCCGTTCATTCACTGCCTGAAGAGATAAATCCCATAAGTAGCCGCACAGAGCTGACGAGATGCTTTCTCACTGGATATTCCCTAACTTGTGTGTATATACACGGTTCTGCCCTCAACATTCTACGGCTAAGACGCGAAATATATTTCTTCCGTACTTGACGTGACAACGTGTACTCCATCAGGTACGGATACCCTTGAATCCTGTACTAAGGAAGGTTCAGCTATGTCTTTGCCTCTTGAAATAAAGCAACAGTACGCACCGGAAGATCTCTCCGGGCCTGCATTGGGTGTAGACATCCGCTGCTTCTTCAAACAAATAATGTGCCATTCCCTGCATACTGCTACAAGGACTTGATGAGATGCTAAAAGGAATTTTAGCAATTACCCAGCTGCGAGAACTGGAGCTAGATTTTTGAAAGAGATTTAAGGTCGCATACCGCTATGTGGAGCGGTTAGACTGCCGTGCGTTCGACAGCACAATCAGAGACTGTAGATGGGAATGAGTGCGACTCAAGAAGCTAATATTCTGTTCTTCGTGTGCTTACCGTCGTCATGCTGCGTGTCTCTTGCTCGTGTTGGCGACGGTCTCGCCCGAATGGTTTGTTTCATTGCTTCTCAGCTAGCTTACGGCAAAATCGATCATTGATGAAATGATTAGCTTCGCAAAAGAAACCTGAACCCGCATACCCGACCATACATGATACCGCATAAAAAAAGACTTAGAAGTTGTCATCCAAGGCCATATGGCGAAGGGGAGTCGAACCCTTACCACTTGCTCAATAGAAGGACGTGTAAGGAAATGGAAAGCATGCTTGATAACCATTTCACTATCAGCGTGTTAAACAGTGCAATGATGCGTGGCTACGGAAGACGGGAGTTCGTATATTCGAGTGAGTAGGGCTTTTCCCTCTATCTAAAGGAGTCATCAAAAAGGCATCGCTGGTTCCGTGTTTTGGACCTAGGTTAGTATGAATAAACTACTAGCCTTGATTCGGTCCCGCTTTGATCCCGCGTTAACGTTCAGGAGCTGCATTCAACACTGCCCAAGGTCTTTTCACGCAAAACCAGGCCATTAGAAGCCTAAAATACGACGCGGCAAAATGCATACCCGGCTCCAAGAGTCAAGACACCTATTATGGAGAGACGGACGTTTGGACGCTCAAGTCTTTCCTCGAATCCACGGAAACAATGACAGGGGTTGTCGTTGCGATACGTAGTGACCGGTAGAGGGGAGGACCTTGAGCGAAGCATGACGTTCGCTGCAAGCAGGACGTTCGCTGATGAGCACAAGCCATGACTGTACAGATTTAGCACTACGCGAGACCATTTCCGTCCGGATTACCAATGGCTTTAATGCAGTGGCAGGCCGTTACGCAAGTATTGCAAAAGGTCCTGTTGCATTCGAGAAGTACCGCCGGTGGACGAAAGGTAGGACCATGGCGGCGGCCATATATCTATACGCGACATCGTTTACCTGCAAACGGTGTATCGATGCAAATTAGCGAAAGCAGCAGATACTTTCTGAAGTCAGAGTGAGGTCCTAAACTCGAGAAAGGCAACAAGAGCCAGGGGACAAATTGCTGCGCTGTTGTGCAGACGGCTGGAAGTCCAGTACCAGTCTTGATCAAGTGGGGACCAGAATTGGGCGTTTCTCCATAACATGTAACACGTTAACCTTAGAGGGGACGAAGGACCCGACTTCCTTTTCGCCATCTAGACATGACTCCGACGAACAGAGGGCTACACTCTTGAACTGGTGCGAAGAGAGGTAATCCGCTGATATCTTGTCAAAAGGTGAACAACGATTCATATTCAACACAGTAGTTACATAAATATGTGCTATATCTAGATGTCATCAATTCCTCGAGCCGTTTAGGATGATAAAAGGGACGTACGATCATAATTTAGAGATTTATTCTCGCCCATCTGCGGAGAGAGACGTCATTATGAGTCGCGCAGAACTGACAAGATGCGTCTTCACCTCGTACTGCCCAAAGGGTAGCCATGCACGCCGTCCAGACTGAATGACTGCGCGGCAAAAGGGTATTTGTTCCCGGCTTGACGGGGTGCGCCGACGCCATTGTCGGAGCCCGTAATCCAGCTTTATACAAGGCGCCACTAAATCTTTGTCGCAGGAAAATATAAGTGACAATGCTCACCAGAATCCCTCTCAGGTCAGGTGGCTCTCATATCGAAGCGCTTGCCTCAGCGACTAACACGCAAGCGTCATCGGTGATGGAAGCATAGGTCACGCTTCTATTGATCTATGACGTCGAGTAAAATTTCTGGCGTCAGTGCAGTTGCCAGCCAGAACCGCAAACTCTTTGTTCATTTCC